GTGGAATCCGGAAACCATGCGTGAAATACAATATAGTTAGCCACGTTGTGTACCAGTTGAGATTGTACGGAAATCCGTTTTTTCGTACCCACAGCATCGAAACTGCTTTGTTCAGATTTGGAACCTCCAAGTCAACCAGTGGGATGGATGTGGCCATTTGGAGACCCCATCAGATATAGTCAGCCATTCTTAAACTGCATGATATATTTGGGCATTTTGCAGTGGATTTGACCAGTAGCGAATTAACGTGTCAGCACCGGTTAGGCATCAATGGTGCATGTATCCCCTCCAACAGTTTCAACAGCTTTTGTCAACGGAGTGCAGATTCATTCCCTCATAGAAGCGAAGAAGATGCCAAAATAAATCAAGGAACGATCAAACCAAAGAGATTCGCATGAAAGCGCTGTCCTCCGACGATTTTTGTCCCCACAGTCCACCACGGTTTTTAGTTTTAAGGTGCTGCTTACCATACCGACAAGTAAGGAGTCAATCTTAGCCGCTTCAGGTCATCAGTGAAGTTAGAACCATCCACTGGGGTGCCGTGATTACCCGTGGTTTCTCATTTTGGCACTGACGATCCAACAACTTCCGAAAGAAAAATGTCGAAGAAGTAGATTACTCGGTTTTGTCTGTTCGTCATGTTTGAAAGTAGGACTGCACCCGCTTTGTCATCAAACCAGGTGATATGGTTAGCGCCCATTCTCGCATTGATGGTATCGTCTGAATTGGTATTGAAACGTCTACAACCCAAACTCCAAGATAGGCAAACAGATTAACAAACAAATAGCATATGCGAGCTACCTATATTTAGTTACATCGCCACTGGATCTCCCTGTCTGGTTTTTCTGCATTAATGGATCACCTAATGATGGAATTCGGATAGGATTCCCATAGGACTGTGAGCTTTATCGAACCAGAGGTTACCGTGCCCCAAGCACTTCGGTGGATCTGATAGTTGTGTTAAGCGAAACCGAATCAGAAGTCTTCCAGATATCAACAAAAGCCAAACTTGAGTTAAGGGCTATCAGTGAAGTGTACCGATGCAAGACGCCAGCTAGCTTACGGCCATAGCGATGAGTAAATAGAGACTGGAGTGAAGGCAGTTGCAGTATACGGTTCATTTACCAACAAACTCTTCGTGACAGCTTTGAATAAAATTGGACGAATTTGGATCCTTTGTCAGATGTTTTGAGGAAGAAATTTTAAATTAGTGACTTGGATGCGACAATAGTGTAAAAGATAAGCCCCTGATGTAGTGATCAGGACCTGTTGTAATCCAAAATTCGAGTAGTATTTATGATCGTTCGGATCATACACCAACTTCCTCCCTCGTAGTGGCCATCTACAATCCGTGCACTACTCACCTGTTAGGGGCATAGTACATTCTACGAGACAGAAAAAGTACCCGACGCTGCTACGTGCTACCTCTGGTGGTACAATATATGAATGGTGGCTCGGCACAAGGTGAACCTATTGGAAATGGCGTCAGGGGATATCAGTCTAAAGTGTGTGAAAACGTCTTGGGTGCATGAAGCTGCAGAGGCAACGGGACTTGCCCCGATTTCGTTGTACCTGGTTGTAACTCTTGAACAGGATCCAGAAGAACAGCCCTAACTGTGGACTCCAAAAGTGACAACGTGAAATCTACGTCCTAATGGACCAAGTTTTATAGTCATTAGAGTCGGAGGTAGATGGAACCATTTGACCAATCACCAGATGACCATTCTTCTTTATGCGCTTGCTATTTAAGTACACGTAACCTCGTTTGATACCGGTAAGGTTCGCTAATCACAAGACGGGAACAGCTTGGCAGCCGGGGACAGGACTGAGTGTGATCGCTGGCGGGATCAGAGGGATCGGCCAAGCTTGGGTGGTTCATGTTGAGTGAGGCGCGCAGATCGTGGAGGCCTGCAGAAACAGTGGACAACGGACGTTTTGGAGAATATGTCCGTGTCACCACTTTCATGGACAGAGACCCAACGGTGCACTACTAAGTCAGCTTTCGGGTTGCAGCACTCGCCACTGTCCTCACAGGTCAGCCCTACGAATTCATCCAGTGTAATAGTTGGGAGTGATGCAGAAACACCAGTCGGATACTGTTGTTGAGGCTTTGGGATCGAACGGGGTGGTCGGTCGCATTTTGAACTGCTGAACTCTCAGCTCCGGAGGTTCAGTACACCCATTATAGTATACTGTGCTACTGAAGTTAGTATCATTAAATTATTTGGGTCCATGGTCCAACTCAGATGTGTGACGTTTTATTCGAGTCTGTATCCTCTTACACAGACGTCACAGTAAGCAAGTACAGTCTCTTTTAAGCGGATGAATTTCAACAGGAATAATTTTGCAAAAAAAAACATGTGGTTCCTCCTCTGCGACGTTCAACCTATGAGCGCGCTGCATGCTAAAATCATTCAGCAAACACTCTAGGGTTCCTAATTCTGACATTTTATTTTCCAAGACAGCAGATGACGGCTGTCTGTTTTTCAGATAAGGTTCGAATGTAACAAGCACTGTCTTCACGTTGTGCATTATGAAAGTGTGCCATACCAGTTGGAAATTTAGGTCTAGGAGCATATCACTCACAAGAAAGAACAATTTGACTCGCCTCCCATTTTTCTACTTTGGGAGATAGCCATGTTACTCTGTACTTAATAAATTAATAATAGAGCGCTGAATACAGCACTGCACTTCATGTTCGTTTCCTAATATCGATCTGTAAGCTGGAGTGCCCAAGTGGAAACAACTGAGGCACTCAAGGAGAGGCAAATTGTTTGTAAAACAACCAGAACGATTTCACCGTCACACCATCAACGCCATAGTCACCGTTTGCTTATTCTTTTTTAAATCTGGTGTTCCTTGAATATCATGTTGCATTAGTATGTTCCATCAAGCTATATCTTAGGGCACTGCCCGCCTCCGAAGCAGCTGTTCCAGCTGGTTGTCCCCCATCCAAACGGAGCTTCGTTCCAAACTAACACAAAGCAACGAGCATCCGCTGCAGGAAACATTACAACCCGTGGGTTTTCTGGTCCGCTGTCCAATACCACCATAACGGATAACCATTTATCATGATCAACTGAGAACAAGCTGGTCCCTGTCATCCAACCAGAGCAGGAGAGGAGATCATGACTCACAGGGACCATACCTGCCCCCATGGACAGCTAACCTGGGAGTGTTTTTTTTTTCATTTGGCAACCAATCTCATACGAACCGGGAGACCAGCTGGATAACGATAGCAGCAAAGCAAACAACAACAGCAAGAGGAAGAAAACAAGCGTGCATGAGACCACGAGTAGCAAGGCTATCGAACGCATGGATAGTATCGGACGAAGAAACATACCATACCATGCTGAAAACCGGACCAGGCTTGTGTGCGTGTGCACATCCGTATGAATGTACGGGATGTATCCGGTAGCCTCGAAAAAACGGGCTGTTTTTCCATAAACGTGGTCGAACATACGTGGTGTACACACAGTAGGAAATGATAGATAAACCATTAATGATAGCGATAGTGAGGTGGGTTGGCGATGGTGGTGGTGGTGATGGTGGCAATGAAGGAATTGTTGGCTGAGATGGGTGAGTGAGCGCACAGATTGCCTCAAATAAACCAACAGGTGATGGTGGTAGGTGTTTGGGAAGTGGGTGACCAAAAACTGGTTGCAAAGATAATCACATACACGTGGTTCATACCATATCACGCATAGATAGAATTTTTCTACAAAGATACTCAGCTTCACTGGTTTTTGGTTAAGGACGTCGAAAAATATTAGGCTGTCAAGGCCATCAGACTACCATGAGTAGCGGGGCAGTTGGAAAGAGATGAATCTATTCTGGGAGTAACAAACTACTCAAACGTGATACTAAACGAGTGAAGGAAAGCACAAATTCTGTTTCCGTATCCACATGATTGGAAAGTTTATGTGCACTCTTGTGGGTAGTCGTGCAATAATTGCTATCCGAACATACACAATCAAAATGACGTACTTTATGTATGCCTGAAGACTAGTCGCCCACAATGCAGTTATCTACACTTCTGCAAATTTGTTGGAATCCAGTACAGTCGCGAAAACGACATTAGGCCGCTTCCCCAAGATAAGGAAAAGATTGTCGGTTGCGTGTCACCAAATCACCAGAGAGTTTCTGCCATCTTGTCACACCAGGAAACTTATAGTCTAAATTACTATTCATGGTACCCACTGAGGCAGGTCCTACATTTCATTCAGTCGATCGTCAATAACTAAGTTTACTGTTGTGTTACTCGTCGTATCAACTGAGCACTTTGCTGTCAAAAAACGCAGTGGAAATTAATTGATAGCTACGAGAATATCGAGAATGACATCCGTATTACTGTCCTTCGGGCAACATCTTGGATACGTAGCAACGATGACTTGTTTTAGTTTCAGTCTTAGGTACACTAGTTGAGGTCCTATTGCAGATGCGGTTAGAATGTCTGGTTGCAACAGCGCTTATCCTCTCATATGCAGTGTCTTGTGTTTTGTGAGTACGTGTATTTGTTTAACCACTTTTTCATACCAAAGATGGGTCCATCTTACCCTATACCCAATGTAAAACAATTATGTTACACCTAATCCGGTAAAGACGAATTTGACCGACCTATTTTTACGTTTTTTCGAAGATGAGGATCACCTAAGCGCTAGGTTGCCTGACGAAACACGGGACTAATTATCATTTATTTTTGAAGAGCATGGTCACAAACATAAAAAGTGAATACAAGCTATGAATGCGAAAGAGTGACAGGAGAATATGGGAGAAAAGAGAGAAACGGCTCATTCGAAATCATGCCAAGGACAGTGCCAGCCTGATGAGGTGAATCCCAAATTATGTAAAGATTTTGGCATGGGAAAACGCGTCTAAAGAACCAAAGAAAGGACAAAAATAGTGAACGCTCTTCAAGGCGCAGTGTGCGCTAGTACAGTCAAGACTCGCACATCAGGCATACTGGGTCTGGTGTGAGATTAAATGGCAAAAATGTACCTTCAACGCCATGTACCACGCATAAAAGTGTCATAAGTACGTAGGGAGCCCACAATGGCAAGAAAACACAAGTCACTGACTGCTACCTTGGGAAGTCCCAGTCCAATAACAGCCTTAGCGGACTGAGGAAAGCAGATCCCTCGATAAGAGATGATCATCGGTTGGTGAACCAAAAAGTCGACATCACAACCGATGGCATGTAGGGCTGAGATTATGGCGAGGGAATATTCATCAGCATCATACTTCTGCTTCTTCTCATTCCACACTATCACTCCACGCCCATCCGAGACTATGCTGACGTCTATTACAGTTGCACGGCGATCTCGAACAGCGATTAGGTCAGGTTTGATGAACGACGTAGAAGTAGGGGCTCTCAACTCCTCGAAGACGGTGTACCCCAGTCGACGGAGACGTTTTGCAAGTTCCCTTGCAACCCGATTATGACGAGCACATCTGGCATCATGCGTAATCCAGCAGGATTGCAAAATATGCACCAAACTCTCCGGTTGGCCACAGTTTCCACGACATAAGATCGTCTGGCCACCATGACCATGCCGAGCGCTTCTAACTCTCGTCCTAAGCAGGTTGCATCGGAGCTGGATACCGCGGATGAATATCCGTGGAAACACTCGTTCTGGGAATACGAGCCATCGATTCGAGAGAGGCGAAGTGACCAACTCTCGTAAACCGCGACCGTCAGCGCTGTTGTGCAGACTATCACCCCAAGCAGCCACCAGCTCCTCCTTAGTGTTTACGCATGCACCATGGACTACAGTAATGAAACCGATACTGAAGCCGGTAAAATATTCTATGCAATGTGCAAGTCATTACCACGGCAAGCTTAGCAATAGTGAGCCTAGATTGTAAATGTAACCGATACTGAAGCCGGTAAAATATTCTATGCAATGTGCAAGTCATTACCACGGCAAGCTTAGCAATAGTGAGCTAGAGTTGTTTCCTTAGTGTTTACGCATGCACCATGGACTACAGTAATGTAACCGATACTGAAGCCGGTAAAATATTCTATGCAATGTGCAAGTCATTACCACGGCAAGCTTAGCAATAGTGAGCCTAGAGTTGTTAATGTCCGCTGACAAACTATGACACTGAACTGTGGGATGTCAACTTTGATTGTCCAGTTGGTTACCTACAGATACCCTATTAACCTTCCGTCAGGCCAGCTGCAGCCAAGACTTCCCTCATTCTTAACTCAGCCGCTAACTCGACCTGGTCACGTGAGTAACGTAACCTGGTCCACAGTTTTTCTCTCGGTTTTGAGTCGCCGTTTCGTTTAAACAGGTCGATTTGATCACACTATGTGGTAGGATTTCAAATTCAAATTTGAGATTATCTTAAGGACTGTTCGGGAATAGCGATTGTCTAAACTGTGTTAGGTAATAATTGGCTGTATAAGGGCGGTATTCTCCCACAATGATGACTCTGATATTACTGTGTCACAACTGTTACGGTATCGGTGCATGGTCAAATTTGATCTGTATTGTTTTATGGTGCTACGCATTTCTCACTCTATTCCTTGAACTGTTATGACAAATGGTGTTTGTTACATCTGGACATTCGGAATGTTTTCAATCGTGAGCACAAGTGACGCACTGAATTTGACCGATCCTCTTGATTCATGAAACAAGGCTAGTTCACTTTCGTTTTCAGTTTATATGCAGTCAAGCTATCACATCAAAAACTATGAGTTAGTTAGACCGCCATCTTACCTAGTGTGAAGATACACCGGGGAGACAGCCATCGTGGAAACGGACAGACCTTTGCACACGGTCTGGTTGAAGAGGTCATGGGAACAATGTCAGTCTGATGCGCAACGGATGAGATTCACTTACAAGGCACTTTTACCATCCACGTTAGTGATTGCCTGTCAAATTTGGTGAATGGATTTAACTTGAATTACATGCTACCTGGTGGGCGTTATGAAAGTTGTCCATCGAACAAAGTGTACGCAACCAGAACAACCACACACTTCCATCAGGGAACACGAAGTTAAGGCACGGTTTTTGGTGTGAACGAATTAAGGCTAATGTAGAATCTTGTGCCGTCCATCCCCTAACCGGAGGTGAAACAGCCCACAAACAAATGACGAACGTGGTTTGCGGTCAATGGAGGAGGTCAGGGCTGTCTGACATGAAGATGAGGGAATCATTTCATGTCTTGTCTCACTGATTTCCTTGTGTGGGAGTTTGGTACACTGGATTTGGACTAAGCGGTTAGCATTTTGTACTACTAACCTCTAGGACCAATGTGCCTTCATGCAGCAGAGTTGTAGGAATTTAACCACATTTCGACTCACATGAAATTGATTCGATGGTAATTAGTTAGTCATTTTTGCCCACTCGAGAGCAACCCGAGCAATGAATGGCATCTTCAACTCTAGTAGTGCCTTGCTCCCAGTGGTTAGACAAACGGATTGTTTGTTTCAAAAGTCTCATGCCTAATTTGGTTCTCTAAAAATATAAGCACTTGTAGAAATGAATTTCAAGAACAGGACTCCCCGGTAGCCTCAGCTACCCACCTTGAAGTTGCAAGCTTCTTGCCATTGGTGAAATCAGAAGAGAGGAACCGTAAATGGGTTTAAGGATCAATTCTGTGCACAGAAATCTTGAGTTGAGAAAAAGTAATAGCTGTAGCTAAGTCGATCCACGTCATTTACTTGGAAGCAGTAGTGGTAGCGGCAGCCGATGAGGTAGACATAAGAACAGCAGCTTATTGACGTGTTAAATGCTGAAGCTGGTTACGCCTAATATTATCGATCGCAACTTAATGCATTATGGAACAGACTGGAGACACCGCCAAATTAGTTAGCCGAATCAGCCAGCCTGTGGAAACCGCATTGGGTGGGAAGCAGAACGGTCTGCGGTCGGTCCATTACCGCTGTGGGTAACTGTCAGCATCCCACATAGGTGTCCAACTTGCTATCGGACCAGTTGGCAATGCCGTTCGCAAGCCACCGGGATTGAATAGCCTCTTCACAGCAATTCTTTGGAGACTAGACCAACCGGAACCGAAAAGAGGACCTTATGGGGTTCTGGTGATCAATTTGATGCCTAAGGAACCACCATAATTGAGAGATTCAGTTGGATCCAGCTGAGTCTCTTGTCAAAACCATAATAGTGTGCAAATCAGAACATCTTTTAAAAAACGAAAACTCTCTATTGTGAGTATCCAGGTTTACTAAGTGGCCGTCATAATAAATACCTCATATCACAGACACTGCTAAATCACATTTCTTAACCACTGAAACCTCTCTTACCTGTTCTTGTTCAACACTACATCTTTCATTAGAGTCGTGCTGGGCTCTCAGATTGTGAGCTAACTCACTGATATGTTATTTGTCTTCAAGGTAATCTGCTAATAGGTCGCTCCAAGCAAAATCTAAAAGACTGCAAATGTCGGTTCAACTCCCCGCATGAGTGTTTGGCCCATTTCCACATTCCTCAAAAAGTTACATACAAATACGTATATGTTATAAACCGATATGTGCCCATCGTGCTAACAATTTCAATCAACTTAGAGCAAATCATTTTCGCCTGTACAAAGAACTTAGTTGATCGAATAAATAACGGTAAATCCACATAAAATAAAAAGCATGATGTCAGGTCACCCTAGAAACAACGACCTTAGACTGACTTTAGTCACCTCAAAATCTCATGAGAATTTCAAATCTAACCAGGACATCTTTCATGCACCCAGGTTAAGAACCTCTACTCCGCAATTTCTCTCTATCAATGAGTCCCCCCTGGTCAGTTTACAATTCCTGAGCCGTTAGAATGAATCCTCAGTCCGAAATTAATATATGGTCCTGACAAATCTGAGCTACCTGTGCACTTTCACAAGCAAAACAAATAAAGCGGCAGGAGCTAAACATGGATGTCTTGCGCATTCGGCATCGTGGTACTGGCTAGTCGCATACAACCAGTAGAATTCTCATTTCTATGAGGAAGAATTATTGTGTAAGATAATCGATTGGAAAATGTTTCGGACCGATTGGTTAGTCATCGTTTCAGAGAAGTATGATAAATACACCGATTGTTTGACAAACCTCTCTGAAACGGTATTTTGTAAAACGTTTGGGTATTCAAAATACACTACACAGTGCTCTACAGGAGTCGTTGAACTGACGTGCTAGTTCCGTTGACTCTTATCCGCATGGATGCCTTTGAAGAAGGGAGAATACCATTCATATATGCTACTACATTTTAATCGCCAGTTTATCATTATTTGCGGTTTGGGACTCCAAACGACCGATTACATATTATTTATGTGCGTACAAAACTATTTATCTACTCGAAACCTTGTGTCCAGATTTTACTCAAATTCTCTCTGGTAGGAATTCAGTGGTCACTGCTGGATAACGTATTCCAGCGACGTAATGCACTAATCTTGGTACAGTACATTCGGCAGATAGTATAGCTGTTGAAACAGCAAACACTACAAATTTAGTACGTACCAAGATTTTTCGACCCCATCAGTAAACAAAATCCTCATCATCCTTATGGTCTCATCTACATTCCAATTTGATTGTGACGGCAGACTCAACTGGAAGCTAGATGAATCTATCGTTTATAATGTTCTTACTTGATGAGCCCCAATAAAGGTGAAAGCGGTCGTGGGCTGTCGATGGATTTTCAGCAACCTTACGAGTAGTACATTACAAAAAAACCTTTTATCCTCCAGACTAGATGATTGGTTCTGACATGTCGAAGAACTGTTGCAAAATGTCACATTTAAGCCGTACAATCAAATTTCACATTTTCGTTCCTCGGTGACTGTCGGGTCGCAACCCAACTACTTGTTCATATTTAGAGACCCAGGTACATTTCATTGCATGCCACAACAAAATTTTAAGATTACCCGACGGAAATCTTACTGTCCTGACAGTTAATGAAGAAGAGTTGATGGATTCCTGATGGAAGATCTTAATCAGTTTGTTGAAGCCTGGTCGTTCATTAGACGCGTAATATGTGCTTCTTTCAGCGTCTTTGTTAGTTTGCACCGAAACAACATTCATGTCTTCCGTTTAGCGAGGCTCAGCTCAGTGATCTAGCTAATTAGGCTGTGGACCTAGACATCCCAGTCCCGTTGTTTACTCTGTGCACCACAGTTGGAATGTAACGGAAGCATGCAGCCGCTGAAATGCGCAAAATGATCCCGTTTGTTGCTAGCGCATCTATACATAATTTAGGTGAATATTAGATCACTCATCGCGTGCTTTTCCTTATAAACATAGCATGGAGGTGTCCAGGTATTTTGCACAAACATGTTCTGGGTACTTGATATTTTCAGGTGAATGATTTATTTACCAGTCAGCTTTACAAACTAGTTTCACTTTCACTTAAAACCGTCATTCCTCTTCAGTATCCTAACAAAGCCATAACTTGTAACAACCGAGGTTTATTAATTCCGTGTTATACCACCACCAACTAAACAGCACTTTATTGGCTCTTGATCAGGTGGCTGTCAATCTGTTCGCCGAGCTTGCCAATTGACTTGCAAACGTTTCATCACCATACGAGGAGACATCATCAGTTGGTTGGGTGCCTCGTGTTTGCCTGCGTGCGTTCATATGGCATTTGAAGGCTATCTGTTATTTCTTAACGTGACTGGCTAGTTGGAATTTTTAAAGGGATTGCAAGGATTTGTGAGGGTAGAAGCCATCACATATAACACGGTCTTTCGCTTGCTTCGTTTCTGCAATCTAACTCCACTTACGAATTCCGGAGAAGATTGTGCAATTCCCATCATTCAGATTCCCTCAATCAGGCAAA